ACGTTTGCGTTTCATTTCAGTTCTTTCCTCATCGGTCTTCTGCGAAAATACATTCTATGTCTGAACCACACCATATACTACTTATATAGATATAAGTAGACCACACCACACTACAACCATCGTTAGAAGTAACAAGTATTTATAAACAGTTGTCTATGCAAAATATTCAATAGTCACTGGCCGGACGACGTCACCAATAGCCTTTTGTGGGAGAAGATGAACCAGGTTCAAGCTGAAGAGGAAATTAGGAAAACACGTTGAATGTGGATCGGATATACATTGGGGAAGTCACCCAAATACGTCACGAGGCAAGCCCGGACTTGGAATCGCGAAGCGAAGCGAGGGGAGAGAAAATCAAGCGACGCATTACGACGGTAAATAGAAGCAGATATCTAAGTGAGAACAACCACTGGGAACAACCAGAAAGGATTACCCAGGACAGAGTCAGGTGGACAATGCTCGTCGACGGCGTATGCCACTTGACGAGGAGTGACAGACGTGAATCAGTCAGTGTAAATTGGCCAATGCAAAGTCATTTTTGTGTTTCATGTTTGTCGTGATTTCAAACTATCTGAAATTAGAAATTGATGATAAATGGCATCTAATATTTATTCTGGTTAGTTGTGTGGTCTGTTGCATTTGAAGCAAATGAATGATGACTGGCAATAGAGTCCGTGGTGTGCGCTTCATTTTATTCAGGAATGTTCAGCTGGATGCATCGACATCTCAGAGTTGATGTGCACTCCGGATCCCGTAACCAGTACCGTTCGTTTCATGTGTCATCACGTTATACACTCAGCCACTGGGTCGAAATAGTCACTTAGTTGTGCAATGGGGTGAATTTCAGTCCTTGTATATTGATTGATTGTATCTTCCCACAATTCCCGTCTAAAACCCCATTCACACGATACGAGGAATGTCGTAATTTACACAAACGTAAGAATCACTATCACTACCATCATTATCGAACAAAGGATGAGGTTAGATCAGAGTGTGATTGTGAGTGGAAAATACTCCAATAACTGTGTAGGCAGGCAGATGAGTTAACAGTATTTCGTATGTTTTGTTTGGTTAGGTTAGCGTTTCCGCCTACTCTTGCTATTAGTAGCTGATTAAAGTGACTAGTTTGTGTGAAACGGCATCAATGTGTTTCTATCGCTGTGAGAACAACAGTAGTTGGATTGTCAGTGATAACATGTATAGCAGAACGATGCATGAGTGTGCACATATATAATGATTAGGAAACACCGACATGGATTTCACTCAAGCATACGACGAACAACGAGTTGGTGTGCACGGACACAGAATGGTGACTGGTTACAAATGCCAAGTAACGCGACAAGTCAGTCAAAGGACAGTCATTTATTATTTGACGTATGGCAAGCACATAAACACGCGAAATTATAGAATAATGAAATGTATTTGGTAGAGGCGTAAATGACATACTCTATGCGTTTAGACCTTGACTTATTCATCTCCTAAGGCTTCTCGGTTTTTGTTGTTGCTTCTCCGTTTACTGCAACATCCTCCACAACAGTCTCCACGGCGACATCCACGACATCCACAACACCGAGGACATTGAGGGCATGCACCGGAACAGCAAGGACACCTTCCACCTGGCGCTGGAGCTCCACTAGCTATAAACCAGATAACACAACTTCACGATGTCACGTATTATATCAGGAATGATGGAAACAAACGAATTGGAACCTACATGTAACGACTTCAAAAATCGACATTTTATTATATTGGTGAAAATGGTCGATATATATTCCAATAACTAGTCAACATGTATCAGCTTCATGTCATCTGGTTGATTGGAATCGACCGCCATCGAGTTAGATAAGACTCACCTGGATTCTGACATTCGAACGATACGACCAGTACAACTATGATCAGCTGAAATGAGAAGGCCGATCAGACAGATAATATCACACAACAGAATTGTAACATACAGTGAGGAATTGCATTGTGGAGGTTTACTGTTGAAGTGAGTGTCGTTTGCTCGTTGACTTGTTCGTTTGTTGACTGCGTGTATTGCATTGTTGTATTTATAATGGACGTCGGTCATTCCACGTACAAACACGTGTTCACACCTGATATTTGGTTGTTCAATGGAGTTGATCTGAACTCGTGTGTTGTGTGGGACGTTGGCACACTTCATTCTATTTAATCACCTCGATTTCGTCTATCACATTGTCTTCATTTTTAACTCAATTTAACAATCAATTACGGTTATCTGACTGTTTACAGTTCGTTGAATTAATTATGTTCACGTGTGACTTCGTTGTTCAGTGTCAAATGTCTCTACGGATATGTGCGAGTATTAGTGCTATGGTATGATATTTTTTGTGTAGATTTGGTTGTGAACTGCTTGATTTATTTCTATCGAGTGTTGTTTTGGATCATTAGCTCGATGAATTATCTCGATGGGTGTCATTTTAGGAAGCTTGAGTTAATGAGTGATTTATGTGTAGTTTGTGCTACACTATCAACATCCCGATTAATTATCATGCTCACAGATAATGTAACAATTCCGACAACTTATTTATGAGTAAATTTGCGATCTCTATAATAATGTCACAGTGACTGTGTAGTCAAGTGGATACGTGGTGAAAATTGTAAGGAAAACACGACACTTATTACATTAAACAAAACAAGAACATGTGGATAGTTTCCACTGAATAGTTTGAGGTTGGAATCGCTTGTGCACTGCGTATTTGTGTACGAGTATCGAGAATTTCCCAACCACATTGTGGCGCATAGTTCGTGAGCACTAATCTCAGGTCAAGATAGACAGGGCTAAACATGAATAGACATAATTGAATTTCCGAACGCCGATAAAATTTATGAAATACAACCAAACGAAGTTGAAATCAAAAAGCTATGCGGAAGCGTTGAAAATAAACAGTGGAAACGTGTCCTTAAATAATACTGAAGTGTACTGGTTCGATTAAGAGATTATTGAGGAGAGTTCAGAACATATTGTACTGTCGTCATCTACCTAAATGTAACAACAATTTGGTCGGTAACAATGATTAATAATTTTAATGTGAGCGAGTAATTGGTGTAAAACGGTTGTTTTATGAAGCATGAATTCACACTGTCATGGACCTGTTTCATGTACAGTAACGAGTAGCTTGTGATCCTCACAATTGGATGATCCACACAACAAATTAGACCGAGCAAAAATTTACACCAATTCACTCATGGAATATTATTTTTATCACACTCAAAGAGACGACTTGGTCAGTTTGTGGCTGAATTTCACAAGTGATTGATATGTCTTAAGGTGAATATCATATGAAGTGTACTGAGATATTACCACGATGCCTGATCAGACGCCTTTAATTAGTAATGCTCGATAAGTTCGACATGATAAGTATCAGTTACAAGTCCCCAGAAAACCATTCACTTCTATGAGATGTTTAAAGTTATAGTTAAGCACTATAGTAACCCTGACGTTCTCCATTCCATCATCATCAGATTTAACGATCTCACAGAAGGTGTGTTGGATTTGTATACTTGTCTATACTGGGTGGCATAAATAATCAAGTGTACTCAAAGGTATAGGGAACCGTGGGTGTGCACTGCTGAGAAAACCCATACTACAACGAAACGGTGCTTTCAGGTTTTCAATGGTAGTCTAGCTTCGATCGAATCGTGAACTCAACTGCTGAAATATTACGATCTCTACAAATTGCCGTCCTAATAATAATTTATTGTTCCTAAGTTCAAAGGCTACGATAAAGAATCACTACGCTTGATGTATAAATATCGATAAACAGGATACTGACGAGGGGCTTTATGATTATTGATAGCACTTTCTGAAACGCAGTCATCTAATGTTGCAAGTTATGCCTCGTTTTCTATTTAGAAAGAGCCAAAATGTTGGTTGTAGTGGGATATTATTCGGATTGAGGAACAGAACGGTTGTTGAGCTCTCACCGCTTAGCGTAGGGTTCTAAGAAATATAATGCCCGCGCGAAATAATGAAATAAGTAATGTAATGTTTTGATGTTACCAGGACGTTTTAGATCAAGTATTATCCAAGTAACTTGAGTTGGTACTTAAGCTTCCTCCTATAACCAACTTCCATAGGAAGGTTGGTTCGACCGATTTGTTAAACTAACTTATATCAGTCAAGTGATGCATTACTAACTCCCTCAATGTTTGACTTTATTTTATAACCAGTGATGACCACCACTCAATCAATCTTCATAAATAGTTTATAGATTCTACCTACTTGTTTTATTAGCTTGTTATTTTATGTCGGCATCACCTACCTTCTTTCTACAAGTTATCGCACATGACCTGTACGTGCCCTCTACATGGAAATCAGAGCCAGCAAGGGAAAGTAAGGAGGGAAAATGAAACATGAATATCTGAGGAAGTGCAGTGACCAGGCTGCCCAACACCATGTTGACGAGATACGATTTTCCCATGATCTGTCCTACTATCAAGTGTTTACTCACCTGAGATGAATACTGGTCCACTCGTGACGGTTAGAGTATAAACTACATAGCCCTGGGAGCTATGAATCAGCATATTAATTCTACTGCTTTCACCCATTGTGCACACTGGAAATATTTCGATGCGAACACTATCTGATTATATTGTAATTAGAATGACTTTAATATTGCGAAAATGGCGTTATAGATTATGCTGATTTACCCTGATTTTTTGATGGCCTGTTTTAACTTAAATTTCGCATACCCAATTTTGCCAATGGAAGAAACAGTGCTATGCTACTCAGAGCGGTTGATGGATGGGCCTATGCTAGTTAGATGAAAACGGTGTAATCTGGTGTACGCCGAAATTACATCTCGCGGTAAACACCAAGTGTGGGTTACCCTCAACTGGTATTAAGGTAATGGGACTGGGTTGTTGACTCGATGGAAAAAATCCACAGGAAATTTAACAATAACAGTACTCAGGTGAACGTGATTTAAAAATTAAAATAAGCTCATGAAGTTAAATAACATTTTTGAAAAGTTTAACTAGATTCGCGTAAACTTCAAATAATATGACGAAATAGTACTAATATTATCAAGTTTAGAACCTCGACAAGACACTAGCAGGAACTCGCATTCACAGCATGTGGTGCATTATTGTTATAGTTTTAGGAGCGAAATAGAATATTTAAGTGTACAGTGAATACATTGGTTATCTATCACAATCTGAAATGCCAGTTCTGTTTATTGGACACTGAATGTTCACTTTGACTTGGTAGCGCTCTCTGAAATAATTCGTTTACGATGTCAGATTCGTCCGATGTGACCGAAGTGGATGAATCTTGGAAAGTTAACCTTGAAATCGCACTGTTAGGTAATCCCAGATGTTTGTTTTTCAATGTTTTTTTAACGATTTTGAGATTGGTAGTTAAAGAGATATCTTGGTAATAAAATACGTCAACTTTATCTAACAATCAAATGTAAATAACAGAATATAATTGTTTGCTGAGTATAAAACTGTATGGAAGACGTACGGCTTACGGCGTTAAAAATGTAGGCCTCTGATGTTCGTTTCCACATTAAACCAGAACGATGCATGTTAACTATAAGATGACGTAGGAGCTGTTTCATTTTCAGCGTAGGAAACATATGTGATGAATGAAATATTAACCGCATAATATAACTGTGGTATAGAGTAGCTTATAATTCTCTGCACCACTCACATTGATTTTTGTAATCTATCTTCATGAGATAAAATTCGAGCAATTTTCTGTTTATGCTTGGTCTCATTACGTTACTTCGTGTCGAAATATTGATGTCATAACGGTTTTTCGCTTACGAATCGACTGGTGGTTTAAAAAATTGACCATTTTCTAAGTACTTAAGATTTTGTAAAAACCAGTTGCTATGGTGTTGACAATAATAATGGAAGTAATAAGTCTTTTTAACGTTTTCACAACATAGCAAACTCACTTTGTCATAAAACTAACGAGATAAGGGTATTCCGCAAGTAGATTTATCACCAGTTTCCCCAGGTATGGTCAGTTCGCTTAATTTTGTTGTCATGTTCAGTCAGGCGTTTGTTGTTTTACTACTATTGAGCGTATTGACAGTCAAACTAGGAATCACAAGAATAAGTGGTAGTAGAATACATATAATGTTTTAATGTTAATATGTCAGATACACAACCGGTTACCTGGAGATGTCGTTTTCAATACTTACTTTGCCGAGAAACTTTGCTTGTCCCAGAATTAAGTAGTTTTAAAGCTCACCATAGCTTCAGGTATCTGACTTATGTCCTTGAGGAGTAAAATGGTGTTGATTTCCAAAATACCATTAAAAATTTTACAACTAAGCTATCTAACCTAGGGTCATGCGATGAGAAGATGAAGGTTATCAGGGTTATTCGTCTTATCGCGTCATCTTTATCAAAGTGACTAATTGTTTTAAACAAGGGTACTCAATACTACCGAATTATGCATGTAGTAATCGTAAATACCAATCCAAATTAAACCTCCTGTATAACGGTTCACTAAAGAATAATCCAAACAAACTATTTTATTAAATAGAATAATTTTCCTGTAACGACTATTACTTCGGAGGTTAGTGTCAACAATCTAACAGGTTAGGCACAAAAATATAAGATAGATTATCTGGATCATTTTCAACGCATGAGTCAGTCAGACCGACTGACTGAATGGATGACTGAACAGTACCATTTTCTCAAATTTTATTCAGTTATCTATACTGTTAATGTAGACTGTTGGGTTCGTTTGATAATTTTTTTCGAATGTTAAATTTTTCATCATAACCTAATCACTACCTTTAAAATGCAATAGCAGCGACTACTTTTTGGCGTTTATATTAAACACATTGATACTGTTTACTAAACTCTTTAAATTGAAATTGAATCGTCTTCAAAATTAAAGAGGATATAATCAGCTCGAATGTTCTGTGTGACGAGCTAGAGAAAATTTCATTTTTTCAAGCATTACCTTTTTTAAACCCGACCGCTGCTGCGGGCTACAATGGCTGGAACAAACGTCCCTCATGTTCCCACCACGCCAAGCAGGTCGGTTGAGGAGAGGTAAGACTAAAGCAGCAAACCCAAGATCCGAAGTCGAAGTCGTACTGCTGACTGTACAGAGGTGTAACGACAGCAAGGTGTTTACTTCAGACAACCAGCATAACAGCGATGCTGCCTTTCCACAAGGAGGGGTGAGGTTAGTAAAGGTTGACCCTAAAAATGCACACCTCGCCTTAATCCACGGATACTCATCTCCGTCGGTAACGTCTCAACAAGCACGAAGCTAACACGAAAATTACTCACAAAAAGGTCGTGTGTGACCGACCTCAAGCAGTTGTTCCTTAAGCACTGCGGTTACGCTCTCAAGTCACTGAAACCAACTTTAACCCAAATCCCTTTTCAGGTACCTCCAGAAAACCCCACCACGGTGTGAGCAACCGGGAAGTGATAACCACCCTCATACCTCTAACAGTACTGTATTCATAATCGATGTATGCTGTGTCTCCGAAACACATACGGGATCCTAGTGTGGTCATTCACTTGACCTCACCTCGCCAAAAACGGGGAGCCGATGAGATACGCTCGCCGTTTATTTGGGGACCCGATGGTTAGTTCTTGTGGACTGGCGGGTGGAGGCATAGCACTGAGTCCGAAGGCAGAACAAGCGTTATTAGAATGGATCCCTGTTAACAGTCGCTCCGTAAGAACTCGGAAGAATAGGAACACATGTCGGTGCCTTCTCGTCATTTCTGTCTATACTCTCACTGACTGCAGCCTAGATGAAATTAAAGATGAATTTTACAGAAAGCTTCCTAAACTTCTCCAAAAAGCTAAACGCTCAAACATGATACTAGTCGCAGGTGACTTTAATGCCTAAGTAGGTAGCATAAACCAAACAGAAATATATTTAGGTGGGTATTTTAGTATTCCGGCTCAACGAACAGGTAATGGTGATCGTCTACCGCAACTGTGCTCAAACAATCGTTTATTTCTAACAAGCACTAGTTTTAAGCATAAGGAGAGGTATCGTCTAACATGGCGACCACCTGTACCAAACCAACAATGGACTCAAATGGACCATATTGTCATCAGTCATCGTTCGATAGGCTCGATGGGAGACTGTCGCTCGTTCTGGAATACAGGTTTGCACTGATCATGCTCTAATATGAGCACACATTTGCTTGCGCCTCACTGAACTCAGAAAAACCACATTAAGAAGATCCGTTAGAGTCGAACTCAGTGACGAGAAAGTGAAAGGTAAATTGTAGGAAATACTGAAGTCACATTTAGGCAGTTCTGAAAACGAGGCTGACCCAGATGTTGCTTGTAAAGATATACGAATATCTATGAAAACAGCAGCGACATCTATTGGTGATTGGAATCAAAGGGTTATGTAAATCCAAAGGATTTCTACTAAGTCTAGACTTAAACGCAGTATTCGACTCTATATACCTTGAGGTTCTGTGGCAGTCTGCCATTGAAAGGTGTACCTCAGAGGTACATAAACCTTGCGAGGGCTCTTTACTTAAACACTAACAGTCGAGTCGGAGCTTATTGGCCGACTGTCATTTGATATTGCGACTTCAAGTGGCGTCCGACAAGACTGCCCATTATCTATATTTTTGTTCAATTTCTTCATAGAACTACTGCTAAGAATTAAGTTCTCGTAGTCTAAATTTCCGGTAATCAGTCTCCTTCTAGGAGGTCTGCTTATTGACTTAGGATATTCAGATAATATAGTCCTGTTTGAAGACATTGATAAAGTACAGAGTCTTTTGATAGCACTGAGCAACAATCCCAGGATGTTTGGGTTGCATTTCTGCAATCCTAAATGCAAATTATTACTTCCGAACTGGCCTGCGTCAACACGTAACCTAAGGATAGGAAGTGAAGTATCCGAACGTTCCTGGCAGTCGTCTATGTCGCACTGTACGTATTTCTAAGTTATCTATCCAGTAAAGTTAAAGGGGAATAAAATTTTGGTTTGTATAATATCCAACGACACACTAAAAACATTTTACTGGGTCATTTCCCGTAAATTGTATACACATAGCTGATGTTAACAAGAGCTGTGCCTCTGTAAACTAATAAATGGCGGTTGGTTTTTATTTAGGCTTCCATTTAAGCGACGGAACCATGAATTCTCCTCTTAAACACTACTAAGCAGGCCGCCTAGTCGCTGTGTGAAACCGCTCTATCAACCGAACTTAAATGGAAGACTCATTTACAGTCAATAGGTTTCTAATATACCAGACATTTTGAGAAAGTTATCTTTGTAATGATGACCGTGTTATCGATCGCTATAGATGACCTTTAATTTTGGTTACGTATTTCACATCAAAGTTATTAGCCTTTTTACTCTTGGGTTAAGAAATGACAAGTTTCGTCCCCTTGAATTGTTGATTAAGTAAGAAACTCTTCTGTCGGAAACCAGATATCAAAATATATTTTGAAAATAATATCGAACTAGCTGTTCGAGACAAATGTATGAAATGACATTGATCTGATAACAGGAAATACAAATTGGTTATCATCATTACTTTTATTGATCCAGAAGTAAACGTTATGTTAGGAATTCAGAATGTTTTTGTTTGATAAGGGTACATATATAGTAAATTGGAAAAACTTGACATCGTTAAAAATCTGTTACCCTTTTCGATGACTTCTGCTGTGTTTATTATGGTTTTATCACAGCCTTGTTTTTTTTCAGAGGATGCTGACATTTTTCGGATTCGGGATATCTGTGCCATGCGTCCTGTCCCTGAAAACCTACGCCCTGACGTTTGGCGCATATGTCTAAGGTTGGACACGCAGTCGCAAGCCATGGCTACATTTAACGATGTTTTTGAATTAGAAAATCAGTCGCAACTTCACGAAGATTGTGAATTGGCTTCTGAGGTGTTATTTAATCGTTTGACCGAAGAGCATAGTCTTAAACAGTCAAAAAATATTTCTAATCTATCAGTGAACAGTGATAATGATGATTCAGATCTAGAAGCGTCATCCCTCAATGTGTTCCTTCCTCCAGCTGCAAAGATATCTAGTGATTTAGAATCTGTTTTAACACATTTCGCTCAGACTTATTGTCTGAAATATAGTTCAAACAACGGTTGGGTATCGATACTTAAAGTACTTTTCATTGTCCTGAAACCGACCAGTCGGTCGGAACTGTATGCGAGTTTTGTTTCATTCTATCATCGTTTCGTTGCTACGGGAGTAAATATTGATCAGTGTGTAAGCATAGTTTTCCGTTTGTTGTTGCAATATCATGAACCAAAGTTGTGCAGCTTTTTGGATTCATTAAAAATTAGTCCTGAAAGTTATTTCATACCATGGATGTCAAGTCTTTTTGCTGATTTTATATCAGAAGATGTTATACCATCCCTATGGGATTTGTACTTCTTAAAGTCGGACCCTTTGCTTGGCTTCTATATTGGTTTACTACTTATTGTTAATGCCAAGTCCGTTCTACTTTACCAACAGTTCGATAGCACTGAGGACAATGAAAATGATTCAAATACAAATAATTTACTTTCGTATACTAATGATCAGACATTTTTCGGTAAGTGTGAACTTTGAATATTCTCTATCTTCCCTTATAAATGAATATAAATGAATTACTTATTTATAATTAGCCATAAGATCGTCTAACCTCAAGTCAAGTGAAAGCTTGATTTAATTTTCCAGGCTCCAGACTTTCTGTTCGTGAGTTGTCAATTTAAAGACCACGTATCTATTTCTGTTTGATTCATTTCTCAAATAACAAATAAAACTCAATCTCGTAGGTCTGTTTTAAAAATGGATGCTAAGTTGGATTTACTATCTACTAATTAGCTGTCATTGTGACTTTTTTGATCGTAATATTACCAAATAAAGTTAATGAGAATAGTTTATTTCTAATATACACCAGACTTCAATTAAAAGTTTATTCGAAGAAGTAATTTTGTGGGACTTTGATTATTTTAGTAGCTCACTCTTTTGGCTTTGAATAAACTAAATACATTATTGTCTCCTGGGAAACACTTTATAATCCAACTGTTTATTCATCATTTAATCATTCGACTTAGTTTTCGGTGTACGGTAATCATTGTTAAATATCATATGTGAGCACCCTCTTCACACTCAATGTAGTCGAGTTCACAGGTTCCGGTTGTCTAGCGAAAATTATAGGACATCCATCTGCGAGTAGAAACTATTTTCGCTCGTACTTAATATTTCCATACCATTTAAATTATAGTAGCTCATCTATGGACGACTATCTTACGAATTCGATACATATATTTAGTGTCAACTATTAGAAAATCACACAGGGTTATTTAAAATAACTTTTTCTAGTTGTGTTACAAGTATAATCTTGCGTAGTGTAGTAAAGATCTCATCACCACAACAGCATTTCTGTTTCCCAAATCATATTTTTTTGTGGTATAGTATAATGTTTAATGCAAGTTATTTTAAATTTGGACTTTGTGTCACTTATAGACTTTTAGAGATTTTTTTACTATTACATGTTAAAGTTACGTGATATCAGTATAGAATTTATATATATATATGGGGGGTCAATGATAAGTCTGGTTAGCATCTCAAGCTTTATTTGTGTACTTTATACTATTGGCTGATTTCATTCCCTTTCTTGCTTTTAGAAAAGGTTAGAAATTTAATAATTAATCTTCCTAAACCTATGTGTGTTGGTGATTTGACAAGTTTAGTTGATATTATAGAAGTTTTCATCAATAACACGCCGATTTCTTTTCGGTCTCGATACCTTCCTATACTTTTTGGCAACGCTCAAATTGAGTCAGAACGTTCAGTTTTATTCGATGCCTTATGCATGCCGATTACTATTCAAGAAGTCCTCGATGCCCAATCAATTTGCCTACAAGATTATGGTCTTAATAATTCGTCCATTACACTATCAGATAACCCATCTGACTCGACACCTGATCTTCGCTACCTTCTTGTTGATTGTCGTCCCGCAGAGCAATATAATGCTGGGCACTTACCAACTGCTTTTTTCCTGGACTCATCTTTGATTATGTCTGAACCCTTAAAATTTCAAAATGCCGTTAAGGTTAGTTTTACTACATGTGATTACGGTTGAATTAAAAAAGTGATTATTGAACCCTTATTCAACAATCGCAGTGTGATTATCGTTATATTCTATTTTCACCTCTTATTTTTAGTGCTAAGGTTAATTTTGAATAGTTTGTTGTTTGGACTATTAATCTATTAGGAATATGTATTTAAAAAGGCTGAACATTAACTGAAAATAGATTATAGTGATTAATTGGTATCTAGTTTTTATATTTAATTTTGAAAATCCTGTTCTAGCTTCATTCATTCTTCCTATTTACCTACTTTTCGACATTTGTTTCTTTTTCATCGTGATAGCAAGAATTACGACAGCTCTCAGGATTTTTGTTCATTATTTTTAATATCTAAAACTTTCAGTTAGTCGGATTGGATAATTTAATCATTATGATAATTTTAGAGAGTAATTTCTAACTCTCCATTAAATTTAATTCGAATAGAATAAAGCGAATAACTGAAGCAGGATTCCTTTTTATTTTTATGAGTTCTTCTTAGACGCTTATAATTTTAATCCGCCTATCCAGAAGGGAGGATAATAGGATATTACCTAAAAATGTTTGCTCTAGTTTTAAATCTTCAATTGTATTTGCTCTTAAAATTATCATTCGAACATAGATTAAACTTTTGGTGCTGGTGTTTGTGCAATGTATTTTGCACAAAATTTTTCGTTTAAAGGGGGAGAGAAATGATCTACTTAAAAAGATTCTAAATTATACGGCTGTAGGATCTATGAGGATGTGTTGCAGTTCCATAAGGCGAAAATGTTTAAGACTTTTAAGGTGCTGAGATATGGCCAAAACACTGTTATGGAGCAGAGTTCTATGTCATTTAATTCAGTCATATATTTTCGTCCTTGTATGTAACTTGAGCTATATCTTTTATTGTGTTTAAAATTAGTTTTATGGTTCCGTTTCTTCAGTACCATAAAAATGAAATCGATATTAACTTTTTGTGTGTCAGGAGAGAAAAACTACCAAATGTTTGGTGATCATGTCCATTTAAACACAGAATTTTCCTGAGTACCACGACATTTTATCGAATAAACGTATTTTATTTTTACAACTACGCATATAGTCTTCAGTATTCATTTGTCTTTTGACTATTATGCCAGTCATAACAGTTAATTTTAATCTTTAATCTGTGGGTGAAATTTATGGTATTTCAACCAAGCGTTGCTGTAAAAATGCAAATAAATTATGGTACCTCAATGAACACTCAATTTTCCCTAGTTGTGCACATACTAAATGTAGTGATGATGTCCACTATATTTTATTTCTTCTCCCCATAATGTAATAACAGAAAAGTGAGCTGGTTTGCTTCCTTGTCCATACCATTTGCTCGAAAAGTTAAACTAGCTTCAATGTTTAGTCCTTGATATAATCACAATAGATACGCAGATAGACATGGTACAATTTGCAGACATACGCTGCTCGTAGTTGCAAGAATCTCTATCAAAAGGCACTTATACTTCGTCGAACGCGACGTGTTCTTTTACAGTTTCGAGATAGTCATTCAAAGCTAATGGCTGGACAAATACAACTAGCTGGGTCTGCATAAGTTTTGACTGGGGCGAATGTAATATTTTACTCGTTTCGACCCCTTCCCACACTTTAACTTATAATGTTAACTCTGAAGTTAAAGTTAGTTAGCCCAAACCTTGGTAATTGGACGAAAATATGATGCTTATGTGCGAGATCAATGCCTTTTCATGTATGCTATCTAGGTTATTGTAAGCTATCAGAGTGAACCTAGTGTCCGAAAACCTTTAATGATATGGTTCAAAGCATGTTGTTAATACATTCACGATTGATTTTTAATTCTTGAATATTTTAATATTCTATACTTATTATTCCCCATTGATTTACAACAACGCGTTAGTTAATATCAGGTGTTTTTGTGAATATTATAGTAATTTTAGTGGTCGAGATCATGAGTCAACTGTGTCTGTTGTGAGATAGTAACTCGCTGAAGACAATGGTGGATGTGTCACTCAATTTCGTAGACTAGCTAAAGCTAGACATTAACACCGGTGGATGCCGGTTCAGCGGTCTAGAGGTTAAGCGTTCGCGCGCGAGACCGATAGGTCCTGGGTTTGAATCTCGCGAGACGGAATCGTGGACGCGCACTGCAGAGAAGTCCCACAATAGGACGTCTCATGCTTCCAGGTTTTCCATGGTGGTCTAGCTTCAATTGATTCATGATCTCAACTATTAAAATTCGCTAGTTAATTACTTTTCTAGAACATCACTCTTAATGATCGTTTTATATCGTCAACAAATGTAACGAATTGAATTAACAAATTCTTGTGTGAAATTCTTCGTTAATTGTGATCTGTTCTTGGAATTTTAAGCATTTATAGGATATAGAGAACGTTCAAAGTTTAGCCGTATTGAATTCATTACTGAAATACCAGTTTACTCTACGTTATTATGGAAATATTGAGAATAGGGTTAACTCGATTGGACTTCTGCAAACTATTAAAATATTTTTGATGGTCACAGAAACACTGTACAAAGTTAAAGGGAAGTTTGTCACAAACAAACTTTCTTATTTCCATAAAATATTTAAATCTACTTGTTAGTTGGATATCAGGAATGTTATTGGGCGCAACTAACAGGCTTTAGTCAGTTATGTAAATGTTGCAAATAAACCAACTTAATTTGTTCGGAGTCGTGTTGACTAGCAAATTTTTTTTAAAGTAAATCCTGAAAATTCTGTCATTCTACTTTTTGAAAAAATAACTTATTAAATCACAAACAACATTCCTCGGAATTAACATGAAGTGTTGTTTTTATTTGTAATAAATGGTAATGGTGATTGCCTAAACTGTTAAATAAATCAAAAATAAATAGATATTCTTCATAAATTGATTATACTGATAGAATTCTAGCGGTGACTGTTATCACACTGCACATTTTTACTTTTTCTGACAGTTCTTATTATCAACTCAAGAACGATCACTTGCTGCTGGTTCATATGCTGTTGGAAAGCATATCACATTTTTAAGCACTGGGAGAAAAGACGAAGATCAATTAGCTAATATGGTTGTAGCTGAGTTTCTCCGGCAAAACACAGCATATGTCAGTTTGATTGAAGGTGGTTATACAGCTTTACATGAAGTCTTAGGTACTTATGAAGTTGGTAGGAGCTTAATTGGTCATGAACCTACAATATGTTTAGGATGTATTGGAGGAAAAAATTTTGTTCCTTCATCAACTTCTTCTGATAGTAAAATGGAGTCACGTTTAATAAATGAAAAAGCAAAAGTACAACCGGTTAGTTCTTCGAGTGTTGGTTTATTCTCTAAATTCTCAAGTGCAATTTTTAATACTGGCCGTAGTTTGGATCAAGTACCAAAACTTTTGAAACTTTCAGGTGTAAGTTCAGTGCCAACAACATCGATCAAAACTCATATAACCCCTACATACCAACCTGTTCAGAATAAAGAAACAAAAAAACCCGTTGCTTACAGAAATACATCATCTGTATTTAGTATTGATGATGACTATGACGAGGACGATCTGTGTGAGGATGAGGCGGAAACCATTACAAACAGTCCCAATCGTACAGAGAAAGAAACAAAAAATGCGACGTTATCTGAACAGTCAACTTGGTTAACACGTTTTATTAAAGCATCTACACAAGTTGCACCTGATATGGATGGGGATTTTCCCTCTCGAATCGATGGTATGGACAGCTGTGAAGTTGGCGATTTAATTGATACTACCCGGTGGTCTAGACGTCCAGAAGTAAGAGGTGTATTTAGTACGCGATTTTTAAGGCCTAATGGACAATTAGGCGATAGTGGTTTACTTGTTTTAGCAGAACGTCATTTAATTTTGTTGCGTCATCCAACTCCTCGACTTCCTAACCAACTCATCAACTCTCTTAGTTCTACTTTACAGTCTGTTTTCAACAAAAAGAATCCAAAATCATCTGAATATTCGGCTATTCAAAAACCGACTACAGATCTCCCAAAGTATGCTGTTGTTTATCGGTCACTTCCTTTATCTATGGTGGTGAAAATCACCTCAAATCGTCGCTTTCCGGAATGTATTACATTTCACTACTGTCCACATGACGAAGGCGATATGTTAAAATTAAACAATCAATCATTATTTAGTATGAAAGATCGATTATATATCAATAAAGCAGGCGAAGCAGTGAAAATGGTAAAAACTGCCATCTTTACTACTGTTGCACCATTGGAAATGTAGTATTGCTCATATTGTAGTCTTATTTTATTATTTTCTTTGTACAATGTGTATTTTGCACTAATGATTTTATTTATATTTCTTATGTCATCTATCAATCAGGAAAGTTGGATTTTGAAAGTAAAGTTTTTATTTTTCGTACATTTCTTCTAATTTGAACAATAACTTTGTTTTGATTACATAAAACTGTGATGTTTAGTGAAAAATAGTATATAGATGAACTTTTTTAGTATTATCCTTTCAATCACCAATGCAATTTCCAATCATATCACTGTAATTATGGTTAACCTTACTCACTCTCTTATCTTCAAGGTCAAAGTCTCGTTTTGTTCATGTTGAAATGTTTTTCTTATTTGCAATTATCAAACAAGCTATGCATTAATTTCTTTCGTTTAATTTAACTAGTTTTTACTAAACAGATTATCAAACAGATGAATCTCTCTCTCTCTCTCTCTATATATATATATACATATATATATATGAATTCTTGAACATATGTGGTGAACCTGTCAGTGCTGCAAAAATCACGCCATAGAGATGATCTGATGAAATTTCAGTGCAATCGTCCGTCTACATCAAATAAGAGGGGAGAATTGAAGCGAGTATATGAGTGGTGATGCTTGTTCTGGGAGAAGTTTCGATAGTTTGACAGTCCACAAAATATTTTCATCGGCAGTGCTTAATAACATTCAAAGGTACTCTACACATCTGAGGCACTCAACTGTTTGCAAGCTGTACTGCAGTTCTAAAGATATTGAAAATGCCCTCACCAGAAAAACTCGTCCCGGAACAATCGTTCTCACTTTGGGATTCACAATAGTTTCCGTAGCATCAACAAGCTGATTCACTTAATGTACACACTCTTTAGAAACACTAAAGCAGTTAAAAGTGGAGGGAGTGAATATTAGAGACGATGATGAATAATGTTTTGCAAAATTGATGTTTGCAATGCAACTTCACGGTTTCCTATCTAACTCCCAATGAATGGCGCTAATTTTGCACTAAAGAAACTATTAGTTTTATGTCGTAGTTGTGTTATGTTCAAGTTTAGTAATCTCCGTTACAATACCAAGTTGTTTGCAAGATGCGTTAGTGTTTAACTGACAAAAGGTAACGTGAAATCGAATACTAGACAACTGTCTTCATGTTCGCCTAGTTCGAATATGTCACATTTGTGCGGGCATATCAAATTTCGTCTGCTAACCCATTATATTTTATGCATTATCCTTCAAATCTGCTTGATATATATGAAGTGTTACTGAAGATAATGTTACAGTCGTATATAAAGTATTGTATATTACATTTTTATCTTAGGTAAGGGAAAGATACAAAAAAGGCAAAGTTATTTAACAGATTTCAGAAATACGTAAAAACAAATAATTCCACAGATAACATTTAATCAAAAAACAAATGCCCCATTTCCATTCGACGATTCTATCATCTTAGTAAATGGTTTCTGACTATCTTCCCGAACTCGTAAATGTGTTCTGAGTAGGATGTGCTCCAAAACACCAATTCTGATGTCCATCGTAGTAATCTCTGACTTAAGACGCTGGATAGCTTGTCTAATACGCACTACAGAAGAACTGTCTGTCATACTCAAACCTTTCTCGTCCATCTCTGTTTTGACACGTTCCAGTTCTTCACTGATTTCAGCTAAAGTACGACTTCGAGTAGTGATTCCGCCACTTGCTTCTCGATACTTGGCATTTATGTCACTTAAGCTATCCTATAATAAAAATATAAGTCTAAAAAGATTATACATGTAGCAGTATTAGTAGTTTGTGAAATATTGCTTTGAGCATACAGGTAAGACATTTGCTTGTAGTACTTACGAAATAAGTTATTTTTGGGATAGTACTTTTCACAATATTACTAATTGTATGCATGTTCTAAGTAGTCGTTATTAAGTTCTTAGTATTTACATCTTTTTTAGAGCACTACCAATAATTTTTTTCATGATTTTCCTGAGCTTCTGATGACATCACTATTTTGACATTTTTAATTGGTAGCTTATTGTAGTAAGCCCATTATATTTTTTATTACCTACATGCTGTAATTTAGACAATTAATTCACTGTAAAATTATGTTTGAATCTGATTGAAAGCATGTCTACACCTTAATATTTGTCCATCCTCATTGGTTGTAAACACAGGTAACCGATAACTTTACCTACATATTGATTAACACAAAATACATATACATATTTCGACTTTTTACTTCCCGCTGTGCTTGCCGCTTTCTCGTTTGTGGATTTTACTAATTAATAACAATACACTGTCACAACAACTGGTGTTTCGGCTTTTAAATATTCGCGAGTAAATTGATAGTGCTATTAGGAGAACTGGCCTGCTAAAATACACAGTTAACAGGATGTATTTCGAAGTCGAATTGAGAGGAATCAACTTCTACAGTATACTATACATTTGAGTCAAAAATTTACTTACAGGAGATTTATATTACCATACACTTCATACTCAAATTATTCGAAATAACTGATCACACTGAAGTTTCAGTATATTAACTGATAGAAACCTTGGAATTATGAGTATTTCAAAGTTAAGACTGTTTTCCGTTGTCAATATTAAAAGCGTTAGAAATACATTGGGAATAGAGCTTAGCGACATTCAGTCAGTGAAAAAAACAGTTACAGAGTCTTAGCAGTAGCAGTTACAGTAAATCGATCGTAAAGTGTTTTTTCATGCATCGAAGTCACAAAACTTAGTATGTAAACTATCTCATAAGGTCCAATTGCGTAATGCGTTACGATGGATGATATGAATAACACTAGACTGCCTCAGTTAACTAGAAATCGAGGTTGAGAATGGGACTAAACCTTTGCATCTTCAGTTTTGTTTCGATCCAACATGTACCTAATACTGCTGGTATAAATACTTGATATTCGTGAAATTTTTGTTGTAAAACTTTGCGATTTATACAATTCTAACGAGAATTGCTCTCAGTTTGTTTGGTGACATCTTCGCTTATCAACCAGACTTCTACTCAGATAATTGGACTAATGGTTTTGTCACTCTACTTTCAACTATTGATTCCCTAGTTCGGATCAACCTATTTTTTTGGATATAAATGAATCAATACGTGAACTTGTATGTGTGAGTTGAGTTACGTTAGGTCAGATGACTTTGTATATTACAGTTATTGGAATTGCATGCGCTAAACTCCAACCTACGTACGTCGAAGTTTCCATTGGTTTACTATTAGTTTTTGTCCAGTTAGCGGAAAAATATCTTTCCGAAATGCAAATTACGGGATTCAGTACGTATTTTCATAGCCGTTGTAAGTGACAAGTTTCCAGGACTGATAATCAAAAAAAAACCCAACTGATTGTCTGACTAGGAGGTCTGGTCTCTGACAATATAAAAAAGATCTTAGGAGCTTACCTGTACAACTCTATATTGCTCCAACAGAGGTTCCACTTGATTATTCATATACTTCTCTCGGTTATTTATTTTATCGACATCTGAATTCAGTTCATTGTGTAAACTGATTAATTGGGATTTAGCATCCTGGAACGTAGTTTCGATTTCCATTGTCAGCTGCTTCATTTGATCCAAATGAGTTCTCCAGTCTTTGACATCACTGCGAACATTGACACGTAGTTGTGGTAATACTCGTTCGACTTCAAGTTTCCAGTCTGCTGGGTCTGTAGAGCACTTTAAGACTGCACGATTACTCGATTTTTTCTCATCTACTTTGCCTGTGGATTTAAGTTCTGTCTGTTTTTCAGTCAAATGTGTTTTATGACTTTGAGTAGGTTTTAGATTAAGTCCTGTAATTAATAATGAAGTCTTTTAAAGATAACAGTTACAACCAAACTATGAGTTGTTATATAACCAAATCTAATTTACCCAGTCTTTATTGTAATCTCAGTACGTGGACTTTCTTTGAAGTCCAGTGACGTATTTGTCAGGAGATACTTTAGTCCATAATTCACGGGTTTTGAAAAATATGATTCCACATGAACACAGTTTTTACTGACAAATTAACTTGTGCATAACTATACTCCCTTATCACAACTATAATTTCGGTCACAAGTCGCTAATTTTATCCTGAGATCGTCAAGATAAATCTTTGAGAAACCTATATATATAAATGTTTCTGAATAAAAAATTATGTGGCCTGGATAGTTTATTTCTTATTTTATTGATTTAGATTTTGCATATTATCAATGAAATGTTGCTTCGTGTTTATGAAGGATAAGACGAGTATACAATTTGTAGGAAAAAATGTGGTATAGTTAATGCATGCTTTTGTTGGTTGTTTAGGAAAAATTGAAGTTAGGAAAGCTCTCAACATAATGAAACTCTGATTACGTGATATGCCGTAAGTCTTGACAATATTGTTTTGCTAAGTTTTCGACTACACATTGTCAGTTTGGTTATTACTAAAGAAAAACTTGGGATTTTGATTTCAAAATGAACAGACAATAATTTACCTTTTAAGTCTATCACCTCTTCATCATCGTCATCATCACTTTGTTCATCAGCATTCCCTAGCCTATCGTAGTCTGACAGACTATATTTAAATCGACTACCGATTGAAGATCCGCCCCACTCTTCTATTTCTTCATCAGTTTGCGATGATTCACCGTCTTGAACACCAGGCTCTTCTATTTCATCTTCTGGATATTCAGGTGGTAAGAGTTTAATGTTTTGAACCTGAAGGCTTGCGTCAGCCAACATATTAAGAACATTAATGCAATATTCACCACATCCACTTTTCAGTTTTAAGGGCGGGAACTCTACAGTATATCCTAGAGTTCTGACAGCATCTAAAATGGTTGATATTGTTGCATTTGGATCATCGTATTCCTGTGGTTGGTCAATTTTACAGTTTGCTTGTGAAATCAGCCACGCAGCTAAGGCAGTAAAACAATGAAATTGTTCACCAGGATTAGTTGGAATTGCAAAATAGTGTCTTGTGATAGGTTTCTGATGTCTTCGCCTACCAATGAATTATTATTGCTAGATGTGATTACTTGCAAAATTTTTTCTCATAATTTAGCAGTTTGAGTTTGTCACTTAGACTTTCCATTTGTGCAAAAACTGCATATTGATACTTTTGTTCTTCACCATGTTCATTGCTTTTAACTTTTTCTCGTGACATCTATAGTGAAAAGAAAACAACTCGTTTGTTCATTTATTGAGTTTGCTATATCAAATTAAGTATCAAGATTACGTTAATTAGATAATTACAGGACCTTATTACTCCCATAAAGCTAAGATAATGTACTAAAATTGTAAAGAAAAACTAACTTAGAATCAAATAAATAAGCAGATCTTACCATGGACACACTCTCCACATGATAATGGTTTTACGTAAAAGCACATCAATTCATGAATATTAGCGGTTGAAAATTAGATAGTTACACAAATGTCAACACTGATATTCAGGTGCATAATTAAATAAATTGGGGATTGAGAACTATATAACAATTTATTTTATAACAACTAAGAGTTTATTTGATGCCGAATAAGGTTTGTACTTATCAAAAATAGCCTAAAATAAGTGAATTCTACAAATGTTTATTTTTCGCTATGTGAAAGATATTTATTTTTAAACCAGGAATGGTAAGCTGAAAATGTTTTTGGATAACTCAGGTGACTAGCATATTCCGAAAACCATCTGGAAGAGACCAATACATCCACTCTTATATTTTGTTTCCAGTCTGACAGAAACAGATTTCAGTTACGTATTTAAAAAAAAAGAAGGGTACAGGAATGCAAAGGCCCTCATCAATAAAAAGTATTGGCATAATATTATTTAGAAACAATGTGGCCAAATCTGTGGAAAATATGCTTTGGCTCTGATTAAAGTAGGTATTTTATGTATTCATATTAAGATTATTTATTCATAGTTAAATATGGCTTGCAAAATGGAAGTAAAAGAATTTCATAAGCTGGATTACTTGCTCAGTATTGAACATGAACTAAATACTATGAATATTTTTTAAACCATATTTTAAATGTCATATTTTGCATTATTGTTATTTCATTCCATTAATATCCACTGATTTTATAACACGTTTTTAATTTTACAACACATCCCATGTTTTAAGGTCAATCAGCAGTTTAAAAATCCCAAGGTAAATCCATTTTCAAACTTTCTGTGTCTGATTTGTTTAACTGGACACATATTCACTGAGCTTTACGTCTTTGTGAGCACAAGTATCATTTTCAACAATCTGTTACTGCTCTAAATGGCTCATTCTTATGTTTAGTTCTATATGGTCTACCAGCGTAATTTGTAATTCTTACCAATACTGTACATGGCATAAATGGTTATAAAGCAAACATATTCGTATCATGGCTATTTTATTTTATTTAAACACATAAATATTGGTACAAAAAGTACCAGATAAATATGCGCCTCACAAATCTCATTTGATTTGTGTAAGGGCTGAGATACTGCCCAGGTGCTCAGACTGAAACAGGTGGTTTTCTTAGGGGGTCACACCCCGAGCCTTTGACTTAAAGGTCTGTTCCACAAGGCAGTGGAGCATCGTGAGGAGATGCAGTCCCATGGTAGCCGGTGACCAACAATAGGTTCATACGCCATTCGTTCCATCAGGATCCTGGCTCATAATTGAACCAATCAAGTGTATAGTGTGGAGCCAGTTTGTCCTAGTGGGGTACCCCAGAGCTCAATACTAGGACCTCTTCTCTTCTTGATTTACATTAACGATCTTCCACAAGAAGTTTCATCTGACTTATTGCTTTTTGCTGATGATGTGAAACTTTGGAGAGAGACACGTAACCAAGAGGATATACCAGCACTTCAGGAGGATCTGACTCGACTTCAAAGTTGAGCAGACGACAACGGACTTACCTTAAACACTTCAAAGTGCAAAGTAGTCCATCTGCGATATGTTGCAGACCATAGTTACAACTTGGGAAACTCTTCTCTAGAAGTTTCCCAAGTCTGATAACATTGAAGCGCATTTTTGGCCAGTTTGACGGTAGAACTTTCTACATAATCTTTAACAGTTTTATTCGTCCCCATTTAGAGTACGGAAACATAGTATTTCCTCCCTCCCTCCAAAAGGATAAGGACACTCTGGAACGTATCCAACGTCGAGCCACGAAATCAGTTCGGAGACTCAAATTCAAACCTTATGAAAAGCGCCTCCTATCACTTAACCTTAACCCGTTAGAGTACAGGCGTCTTAGAGGTGACCTTCTTATGACTTACAGTATCCTTACCACTTCTGGTCATCCGCTTAAACATCTACCTAAGCTTAGTCACAATACTAACCTCACTGGTAACACCCAGAAATTGGAGACCCAACATAGCAGAACAGACTGTAGACATGACTTCTACTCCTAAAGAGTAGTCAAATGCTGGAATTCGCTGCTGACTGAGCTAGTCCAAGCGACTTCCCAGGAGTCCTTTATGAGGAAACTTGACCTATTCTTAAGGACTAAGGATAACATATTATTATGATTTACCAAATTCTTCTTTTCCTCTATTATCGTTAATATACCTAGGTTCTTGCCTTGGGGTATTGGTGACCTACTGTTACTAGACACAGAAGCCCGTTAAGCGAAAGCTTCTATTTCGTCCACAACCATTTGATTAGCTATGTACTTATCAACTATGACACCTTTTTAATTAGTAATTCATTACATTTAACTTCTTTTGCAAATCTTCGCAAATGACATTGGAACTTTGCACTTACAATAAAGATATGCAGAAATCGTCATTAAATTACTCGTAAACTATGAGGTTACTTTTAGCCAATAAATGTCTTTGGTCATGTGTCATTTTTTAATGTAGTCAATTATAGTCGTGTTTTTTGTGATGAAGGTAAGGAAGATATCTGAGAAGCATTAGTGGCTAGGCGAATAGCAGACAATCAAGCGTGTGAATTGTTAAAAAGCAGACAATTCGGCGTGAATTTAGGCTAAAAGTAGACAACTCAGTACCATTTTTAACATAGAGAAACAGAAAAAGGGGAAATTCGCATTAAATCTCCATGACAGACGAAAAACGAGACCTCGACATGTTCATCCTTATTTGCTCCTTGTTTTGTGATGGAATGTCCTTTGATTTACCCTTTGTTCGTCTTTACTTTCTTCACCTTGGTTACTTCGGTAAGATATCTCGAGATGCATATGCATCTCAATTCATTACAAATAAACTTCCAATCCACTATTTCCCATGTCTTCAATAACCAAGTGACGATTGAAAAAATGGCTAAAGCGCTATCGGGAATTAAGCATATTTAGTTCCTGAAATAATTATTCCGAAAACTTCAGAGAGATCAAAGTATAACACAAATCTCCACAAAATTTACTAAAAAAAAACTCTCCGTTGTGTTTGTATACATATAGGCTCCACGTACAAAGCATGAAAGGCTCACCTGATTGTGCTTGCGGCTCGAAATGTATGGTGTTACTTTATCTCTCAGACATTTGTATCACTCACATAGTACATTTTGTTGCCATAGTTCATGCTATTTGGTTAGTTCAAACAAGACCGCAAATACATGTTTCAGTTTCAGTTTGGAAAGGACAGGAGGCTTGATGGCCTGTGTTAGTCCTGGCAATGATGGTCTCTCAGTTGATCCAACTTTCTTTTCAAGGAGTCGACGGATGGAGCCTCAATCACGTGCTGAGGTAATGAATTCCACTCGTTGATTATTCAATGGGAAAGTCGGTAGTCAGCTGACAAGTAATTCGTTCTGGGCTTGTGAACTTTTTTGGAGTGTCCTCGTACATTTTCTGTTTTGGAAGACAAGAAAAATGAGGGCATATCAGGTGCAAATCTGTCATTAAGCAATTTGAAAACTATAATAAAGTCACCTCTGATTCTTCTATATGACAGCGGGAATAGGTTTAGCTTGGTCAGTCTAGTACCATACGGGAGCTTCGCTATTCCGAGAATCAGCCTAGTTGCTGTTCTCTGAACCCTTTCCAAGAGTTCACTGTCTTTTTTTAGGCAGGGGCTAGCTGCTTGTATACAGTACTCAAGTTTAGGGCGTACGAACACTGTATACAAAGTCAGGAACGTTTTAGCGTCAAGATGCCTAAAAGCCCTGCGTATGGACCATAAAGTCCTAAAACCTTTGGCGGCTATTGCATTGCAGTGTGCGGTCTTTAAGTCTTGACTGACGATGACGCCTAAGTCGTTGTGTGCCTGGACAATAGGTAACTCAGTGTTATTCATCGTGTATATATCTGTACCCTGGTGGCCAATATGCATCACAATACACTTGGAAGTGTTTATCGACAATTGCCAGGTTTGGGACCATTCAGATAATCTCTCCAGGTCATTTTGAAGTTCTAAGCTATCGCCCTTGCTTTGTATCGCTCTCCATATCTTGACATCATCGGCATAGAGTAAGACCGATGACGATAGTAGACGAGGGAGATCATTTACGTACAGGAGGAATAACACTGGCCCCAAAACTGTACCCTGGGGGACTCCACTAAGTACAGTTTCCCAGCTAGACAACTTGAAGTTCACCCTTACTCTTTGTTGACGCCCAACTAGGAAGTCTTTTATCCACATCAATAGATTGCCTCCAATCCCGACATTCCTTAACTTATATAACAGCCGGTTATGCGGAACTTCGTCGAAAGCTTTGCTGAAATCGATGTGAGCTACGTCTATAGGTAATTTTTGGTCCTTAAGAGCGCACCAGCTTTCACGAGCGACTAATAAGTTTGTGAGACAGTTCATCGGGTCTAGTGGATTTACCTATGTCAAGCTTAACTAGCAGACCAAAGACATCGAGTTCTTTAATGGTTACGCTGTCCAGTGCTTGTGTGGGGGGATTTTCATGGACTGGTGAGAAGGGTGTTTCTATGGTGTATACATCGCTAAAGTATTTAGAGAATACTTGAGCTTTGCCAAAGTCGTCCTCCACTAGTGATGTGGCAGTACTGTCTCCCCATAGTGAAGGAACATTTCTTCTTCTTTTTGTCCTTTGGTTTATATACGAATACAAGCGTTTAGGGCATTCTATGGATTCCCTTACGGAGGGTTGAGGCACAGGTATTTCGAGCCTTTTGATACTGAGATTTTGCCTCGTCAGTCCCCAGTAACTTATATCTGTCCCACATTTTCCTTCTTTTACGGAGAAGGATGCGAACCTCCCTTCTGAATCACGGTGGGGAGTTTCTCGGTCTCTTAGGTGTAGCCCAAGGGATGTAGGGGGCGATAACTTTTAAGTATAAATTCCGGAATACGTCCCAAGCCGTTTCGATTGCTGACTCTGGGTATATTTTCCAATCTACTGATGATGCTGATTTCATGATATCTGGTATGTTTGCTTTCCAAACGTTAGGTCTGGATTGAGCTGAAGCGTACTCGTGATCGACAGTTATATGGAAGTCAAAGCTTAAAACTGCATGATCACTTTTGCCTAGGGATGGCATGTAATCCAGGTTTGCAACATCATCCTCATAATGTGTTAATATAAGATCTAGTAGGGATGATGCAGAACCCTGGTCGTACCTAGTTGCTTCCTTCACGTGTTGCACTAGGGCACATGTGATTACCGCATCAACCAGTTCCTGTTCGAAGGAGTTTGCTGACGATTCAGTCCGCAGATTTCCCCAGTCCACCATGGGTGCATTAAAGTCCCCTACGATTAGACATCGATCACTTCGTGATAAAGTGTTGAGACTGCTTAGCAGGACCTCGTTTGTCTCACAGCTTGGACTGCGATAGATCAAACTAAGTAGCAACTCTTCACCCCTGCATTTCAGGCGGCAGCAAACTAATTCATACGTCCCACTCTCATGGGATACACTGTCGATAATGGTGAATGGGATAGCATTCCTAATGAATAGAGCTACTCCCCCTCCTTTACGATTTTGTATTCTATCGGCCCTTACTAATGTAAAACCCCCGAAATCAAATTCCCTATTATCTATAGACTGCGTCAGCTAAGTTTATGTGACTGCGATTATGTCTGGCTTAGTAGAGTCAATCTGTACACCTAGTTCCAATCGTTTATTGAGTAAGCCCCGGGGATTGGTGTAAGAGATCCGAAGCCTATTTAAGTGGCCTCGTGCTTCACCCAGAGTGGCTTCAGCATCATCCTCTGTCGAAGCCTCACAACCCGAAAATTTACAATTTTCAGGTCTTTTTCGCCAGCGTCTAATCTGAGCTGTAGTTCCTTTTCGGCTTCCCGTCTTTTAACACGGTCCGCCAACGGTAAGTCTTTACGGAGAAAAACTCCTAAACCCTTTAATTCGT